CCTTCTTATTAATTCTGCAATCCACTTATTCAATAACCTATTCCTGGCAGAAGACACTCTAGCTTTGTCCTTTGTGTGCACAGAACCTGAGTAGTATCATTAGTAGCTGTGCCACATGCCTGATAATCTCTCCATCTTCATTTCTATCTCCTGTATTCCTTTCAAGTCCCAGCTAAAATCTTACCTTTTACAAGTAGCCTTTTGTGATTTCCCTCACTGTTTCTGCCTTTCCTCTGTTAATTATCACCAATTCTTTTTTTTGCTTATATTTATTTGTTTGCATGTTATCTCTTCTTTTGTGCTGTGAGGTCCTTGAGAGCAGGAACTGTTTTTTTGTTTTGCCTTCCTATCTCCAGTGCTTAGCACAGTGCCTGACACATGACTTACCTTTACTTAACCCTCCCAAGCATTTTTGTGACAAGAAGTGAAAAGAGATTAAGGTTCCTTTTTTATGCATAGGTTTTTAAAATATAGCACATCTAAACATTTATGTGAATTTAATAAACAAAGATTTGATTCCCCTTCTCTCCCCTCCTATATATAGATATATAGATACCCCTATCCTCCAAAAGATGATGCTAACTGATGGGCTTGGGATCTGAACCCCTAAAAGGAAAAGACCATATGTTTGGGATCTGGACCCCACAAAGGAAAACCCCCTGGAATTTCTCACTGGCCCAGGTCCCTTGTCTTCACCTGGGGCACCTGGCCCCACCCTAGACTACCACTCTTTAATTCCATCTAATCCCCTTCTGTTACTTCCCAGTCACCCCAGACTACTTGACTACTCCTAAATCACATCCAGATCTTCCCATAGTCTTTTGTATCATTGGATCATTTTTTTGGTTAGAGTAACTAAGTCTTTCACAATTGAACATCACTACAGTGTTGCTGTTACTGTGTTCTTCTGGTTCTACTCACTTTGCTTTGCATCAATTCAAATAAGTGTTTCTAGCTTTTTCTGAAAGCATCCTGCTAATGATTTCTTATAGCACAATAATATTTCATCACAATCATGTACCACCACTTGTTCAGTTGGTGGAGATGCCCTAAATTAACAATTTTTTGGCACTACAAAAAGAACTGCTATAAATATGTTTGTACTCATAGGTCCTTTTCCTTTTTTTTTTTTTTTTAAATCTCTTTGGGATACAGACCTAGGAGTGCTATTGCTGGATCAAAGGATGTGCAGTTTTATAGCCCTTTGGCCATAGTTCCAAGGCGCTTTTCAAATTGGTTGGAGCAATTCACGACTCCACCAACGGTGCATTAGTGTCCCAGTTTTCCCACATCCCCTCTAACATCTGTCTTTTTCCTTTCCTGACATATTAGTCAATCTGATAGGTGAGGTGGTACCTCAGAGTTGTTTTGATTTGCATTTCTCTAATCAATCATAATTTAGAGCATTTTTTCATATAACTATGGATAGCTTGGATTTCTTCTTCTGAAAACTGCCTGTTCATATCCTTTGACCATTTATCAATTAGGGAATAACTTGTATTCTTATAAACTTACCCAGTTCTCTATATATTCAAGAAATGAGGCCTTTATCAGCAACATTTGCTGTAAAAAATTTTCCCCAGTTTTTTTCTTTCTTTCTAATTTTGGCTGCATTGGTTTTGCTTGTGTTGTGCAAACCCTTTTTAATTTAATGTAATCAAAATTATCCATTTCACATCCTATAATGCTCTCTGTCTTTTGGTCATAAATTCTTCCCTTATCTGTAGATCTGACAGGTAAGCTATTCCATGCTCCCCTAATTTGCCCAGGGTATTAACCTTTATGTCTGAATTATTGAGATGAATGAAAAGCCCAAGAGACAGAGTTTTTTGGTAGTTAATAATCAGTTTCTTAATTAGGCTAGGAAATAAATTGGTTTCTCTCTGTAACCAAAGACAAAAGACCATGGAGATCATCAAATGCTTAAATACTTTTGGAAAAGTGGGTGTCCCTGACAGGCTGAGATCAGCCCTAATTGGTGAACAATCAGTTTGTGGATGAACGTGTTAATGAGTAAGTGGGTCAAAAGTCTTCAGCTCCTCCTGCTGAGAACTTGACCACTTCAGTTGAGCAAGTGGAGGGGGAGAGATGGGGTTCAATGCTTTTTATACCTAGAATTCACCTAGATTAGATTCTCTTTACACTTTAATCAGAAATAAGCTCTCCCAGTTGGGTGGGATCCTGCTCAAGATTGAGGAGAATTGGGGGCAGCTAGGTGGCGCAATGGATAGAGTACTGGCGCTGGAGTCAGAAGGACCTGAGTTCAAACCCAGCCTCAGACACATAACATTCACTAGCTATGTGACTCCAGGCAAGTCATTTAACCACAATTGCCTCACAAAAAAAAAAAAAAAAAAAAGATTGAGGAGAACTGTTCCTAGAGGATTAGGCAAATCTCATCACTAGCCCTTTCCTTCAGAGACTATCTGGCTTCTAGGGCTAGTCACTGAATGAGGAAATAAAAAGAGAAAAAACCCTACTTATAATTAGTCTACTAATAATTGGTTATTAATAATAGAAAAAAAAACCATTTCTCTCATCATGTACCCATTTTGACCCTATCTTGGTATATGTTATACAACATTAGTCTCTACCTAATATTTGCCAAGCTGGTTTCCAGTTTCCCCAGCCATTTTTGTCAAATTGTGAGTTCTTATTAAAAAAAAAAAAAACAAAAAAACTAGCATCTTTATATTTATCATACTAGATTACTGTGATCATTTACTACTATGTATTGTGTACCTAATCTATTCCATTGATCCACTGCTCTATCTCTTAGCCAGTGCCGGATTGTTTTGGTGATAACCACTTTATCATACAGTTTGAGATTTGGTACAATTAGGCCACTTTCCTTCCCATTTTTTTTTTCATTGATTCCCTTGATATTCTTGATCTTTTGTTCTTCCAGGTGGATTTTGTTACTCTTTTTTTCTAGTGTTATAAAATAATTTTAGTAGTTTGATAGGTATGGCACTGAAGAAATAAATTAATTTAGGTAAAATTGTCATTTTTATTATATTAGCCAGGCCTACCCATGAGCAATTAATGTTGTTCACATCTGACTTTATTTGTGTGAAAACTGCTTTGTAATTGTGTTCCTGTAGTTCCTGGGTTTGTCTTGGCTGGTAGACTCCCAAGTATTTTACATTTTGTACACTTTCTGTAAATGGAATTTCTCTATCTCTTGCTGCTGGAATTTGTTGGTAACGTACAGAAATGCTGATAATTTATGTGGATTTATTTTGTATCTTACAACAAGTTATTATTATTTAAACTAGGTTTTTAGTTGATTCTCTAGAATTTTCTAAGTATATCATCCTATCATCTACAAAGAGTAATTATTTTGTTTCCTCATTGCCTATTCAAATTCCTTCCATTTCCTTTTCTTCTCTTATTGCAATAGATAGTATTTCTAGTACAATATTGAATAACATGGTAATAATGAGCCTCCTTGCTACATGGATCTTCATGGAACGTTTTCTAGCTTGTCACCATTATACATTATGCTTGTTGATAGTTTTAGATAAATACTGCTTATTTTAAGGAATTTATTCCTATGCTTTCTAGTGTTTTTAATAGGAATAAGTGTTGTATTTTGTTCAAAGTTTTTTCTGCATCTATTGAGAAAATCATTTTATTTTTGTTAGTTTTGTTATTGATATGGTCACTTATGCTGACAAGCTCTCTATTTCTTAAGCAGTGCAAAATTGTTTTGATAATTACAACTTTGAAATACAGTTTCAGATCTGATATTGTTGGTCCCTATCCTTCCCATTTTTTTTTCAATGATTCAGTTGATGTTCTTGACCTTTTTGTTCCTTCACATGAATTTTGTTACTATTTTTTTTCCAGATCTGCAAAGTAATTCTTGATATTTTAGTTAGTATGCCATTGAATGAAATTAATTTAGATAGTATTGCCATTTTTCACATGAGCAATTGGTATTTCTCCAATTATTTAGATCTGTCTTTATGTGAAGGATATTTTGTAATTGTATTCAGATAACTTTTCTGTATTTCTTGGCAGATATGCTTCTATATATTTTATACTGTCTATAATTATTTTCAATGGAGTAATAGTTTTGCTTTCTTTTTGCCAATTTTTCTTTTCTTGTTCTATTGCTATAGCGAGCATTTCTGGTATAATACTGAATAGTAATTGTAATAATGGATATCCTTTTCACCTCTAATCTTCTTGAAAAGGCTTCTAGTTCTCCTTGTTACAGATTCTATCCCTTTGTTTCTGGGTGGGAGTTTTATTAGATTACTGCTTGACTTAGCAGCTATTAATTTGCTCACTGGGATGCTCTGTAGGTTCAAAGCAACTGAACTGCTGACTTGCTCTTTGGTTTGGGAAGCTACTCTCTGCTTCTAGCATCAGAACTACCTTTGCAAATATCATTTGTTTCCTGGAACTTGTTCTGTGCTTAGTACATAAATAAAGTCATTGCTCACAATTGCTTTTCCCCATCCCAGAACGATTAATCAGAACTGGGCAGTGAGCACCAGAGCTACCCGATGACACCCATTCCTGTACCCATTGCTTGCTCAAAGATCTCTTACTGCCCCTGTGCTTCTTGCCCTGGTGTCCTGCTTTAGCCTTCTTTCTCTATCATGCTGTATATCTTCTTAGCTACATCCCATTCCCCATTATCCACAGACATCTCTGTCCATCTCCCTAAATTGTTGTGAAGTCAAAAAATGACTCTTTTTGACATCTTATTGGCTTTCCCAATCAAAATTTGGTTTGGTGCTTTCTGTAGAGCTTTGTGAAGAGGGGGCAGGGAGGCAAGTTAGATTCTAATGCTTCTATCTATTCTAATGCTGCCATCTTGATTCTCTCTCACTCTGCTGTCTTGACTCTCCCATATGCTGTTAAAACGTAGAGGTGACTTATATTTCAGATCAGGACAATAATTGAATTAGAAGTGATGCTAGTGAATTTACTCTCCTACAGTTTTTACTCCTAACTATATTTTTAAATGTGTTTCATCTTTCTAGGTTTATCGACAAGACTGTGAAACTTTTGGGATGGTTGTAAAAATGCTGATTGATAAAGATCCTTCATTAGAAAAGTCTGTGCAGTTTGCTTTGAGGCAGAATTTACATGAAATAGGTGAGCGATGCATTGAAGAACTGAAGCATTTCATTACAGAGTATGATGCTGCCAATCAAGAATTTGGGGAGCCTTTCTAAGATTTCTTGCTGAGGCAAAAGATAATGTATTTCTTTGTTGTTTTTTTCTGGATTATATAAATCCTTAATATATGAAATACTTTTGTAGGTACTTAGGAAGATATTTTAGTATACTTAGCCACACATTTAGATATCTTTATCATTTATCATTATTATATTGAAAGAATATCTACAAATCTTTTTATTAGCTCTGAGCAAAGGTTCTTGATCCATAACTAAACATAGGCTTTTTTTGTAGGATGATGAGTGTCAATTCTTTTTTTTCCAGTATGCCTATTTGCAAAAAAAATACGTACTAGAGGTTAGTTTTCTACAATTGTTTGTCTTTAGTCTCAGACAGTATACAATCATATGCTTTGTCATACGAATTTAAACTTAGTTTACCAGTTAGAAATTACTTTGAAATCATTTTTTCCAAGTCGTTGAAAACCCTTTGAATTTCTACATGACCTGTATTTCAAAAGATCTGTGACTTGATGTCATGGTTTTATTGCTTGACTTGTTTCTTAAGCCTTCAAACTTTTAAACATTCTAATGATGTACTTTCTACGTTAGCTGAGTGCTTGAAGTTATCCCAGTTTAAATGTACTAATTTGATTGTGTAAAAATTGCTTTAAAAAATCCTAAAACTCCAGTAACTTTGAGATCCAAGAATATAGGATTTTCAATATTAAATTGTTAATTCAAAACCATCTATGTTCCAATACTGAATCTCATAAATACTTACATTGAAATGAGTCTTATAAGATCACATATGTGTCAGATAGAAAGGAAAATTCATGGATTGAAAGGTGAGTGACATATTTAGGCTAAGATTTTCCACAAATTTTATAGGCCTAGAAAGAAATCTTTATCAACATGAGAAACAATAGATTTTTTTTTCCACATAGGACTTTATTTCAGAGTTTATCAGTTTGTCTTTTGCTCCATGGATCATTAGGAAATTAACAGATTGTACTAGTGATTTCAGCTTAAATAAAGATTTGTTTATTTAGGGACTCCCAGGACCATGGATGTTCTGCCAATTTTTGATGTTAGGTGTGACAGATTTATTTTTTCTTTTTGTGGCATTAATAAGTCACAGAGTTTTAAATCATGTTATTATTACTACCCACTTTGCTTATCTTTCCAGTGTCTCTTCTCTAACCTGAATTCTGCCATCATTTTTAGTGGCTTATTTTGATAATGTTTTGAAGGCTTCCAAATAGTAGGGACCAAAATTATGTTAAATGTTCATTTCCAGCTAGCCATTTATTTAAAAATCATGCTAGAATGGAAATAAGGAAACAGTGTAAGTGGTACTGGATATAATGAGTACCACACCTGAAAATTGAAAGAGTAAGAGAAAAATGTAATTCCAAATCATCCCCAACCTCAGCCTTGCCAAATTAGGCCACTTTGAGTCATAATTTTTGATACTTAGTATGCTAGTCCACAGTTTCTTAACCATAAACTCGAAGTAATCCTTATCCATCATCCTTGATATTCTTCTCCAATGTCTGAGACTATTTTATTAGCTACCTAGCCTAGAGAAAACTAAGGCAATAGTAGTTTTATTATTCAATTCTCCACTTCCTTTTTCTTTCATTCAATTTTATTAAGTAATATCACTCCCTAAATAAAAAGTGAGAAAATATAGAGATACCCAAAACAATGAACTATTTTTCTGTTGAGCTTCATTAAAAATAATTTTACTAAGTTAAAGTCTATTGGTTAACCAGTTAAATATAGTTTTGTTCTTCCTCTCCTCAAAACATTGTGTTTAGTAGCTAAAGGTTTTTTATGGTTAGCCGTCAATAATATTTTTGGTAGGGATATCTGTTAATTGTAGGAAAAAAAAGGTAGACTTTAAAGGGTAACTTTGCAGCATGTAAATTCAAATGTGAACTAGAGTGGTTTATGTTGTTAGTTCTCCTTCTTAAAATGTTTTTATCAGAGAATTACCCATTATTCACTGCAGCATATCTCCAGGTAATGTGCTATACTTTCAGTATGTCTTAAAGTCTTGCTGTGCGTGTAGTTGAGGTTCAAAGGGAAAGTGGAGTTTTGTGAGGCCTACTTGTATAAACTTTAAAAAAACAAATAAAACAACCAGCTTAAAATACTTGGATTGTCTTTTATTGTAGTGATCTTCATTTCCTTGTGTCATTAAAGTTAAGAATTCATTTCACATTAATACAGATATAACTTTTGGCACTACCTTAACCACCACACCCCCAAGGGGATTGTCCCTTATGGTCTCATGGGTTATCATATTCCATCATGGAGTTTACCAGAATCTGAGGAATCTACAGTGAAACTTATTATCTCTCCCTCTGAACTATTTCAGCCCATGTTTCTATTATTTAATTTACTATTTATGATTTACTCTAGCTCTGAACTTTGTTGTCACTCTTCACTTTCCTTTATCCATATTCTAGTTACTTTTCTGTTGGAAATCTTCCTTACTGTACATGCAAGTTTTTCCCTCCCACCCCCATTTTCTTTCAGCTGAAGACCTCGCCTCTTTACTGAGAAAATTAAGTTCATTAAACATAAATTCCCTCTTTACCCCTTCATCTCAAAAGCTTTTGACATTATCTCCTTTCTCTAACTCTTTGACTGTAAGCTGCCCCATCTCCTTGCCAAGATCTACCCTTTTTACATATGCTGTCTTGATTCTTGATCTTTCTGTCTTCTTCAACAGTTTGCAGCTTTAATTCTTCCTTTCTATCAACTGTTTCCAGCCTCTCAATATTTACTAGCTCCTTCCTTACCACCTTTAAGCATGTACCAGTCTCCTCTATCTTCCAAAAACCTTCAGTAGATGATGTCATCCCCTCTAGCTATTATCTCACTCCCCACCCTAACCCTACACACACCCTTTTTCTTGTCTAGACTTTTAGTAAAATTTGTCTATATTTGTGATCCCCACTTCCTCTCTTTTGAGTGGCTCCACAGACCTTTGTAGCCTGGCCTCTGTGTGTATCACTTGAGTGAAACTATTCATTCCAGAGTTAGCAATGATCTCTTAAATCTGATAGTCTTTTTTTCAGGTTGTTTTTTTTTTTTTTCCCTGAATACTCTTCTCTGGCCTTTCATGTCTCTCCTCTCTCTGATTCTCTTCTTGGCTTATTTAATTGCTTATCTCAGTATCCTTAGCTGGTTCATCATCCACATCATATTTTCTAATTAGAAATGTTCTCCAAGACTCTGCCCTAAGTCCCCTATTTTTCTCTAGATATATTCTTAATGATTTCCTCATTTCTATGCCATTGACCCCCAAATCTATATATTCAGTCTTAGTATCTTACGTGAGATTCAGTCCCACAATATCAGTTGCTAGTTGGACATTCCAACTTTTATATACTTGAGACATCTTAAACTTAAGACATCCAAAATAGGACTCATTATCTTTCCTCCCAAGACTACCCCTCTTTCAAACTTCCCTATTTCATTTGAGAGTTCCACCATCCTTCAGGCTCTCAAGTTTATAATCTTTTTTTTTGAATAATATTTTTTCCCAATTACATGTAAAAACAATTTTTAGCATTCATTTTTTAAAATTTTGAGTTCTAGAGCTTTACTAGATATAAAATAGATACTTTTTATTATATTAAATTAAAAGGGTTTGCACAAACCAAAGCAATGCAATCAATATTTGAAGGAAAGCAGAAAGCTGGGAAACAATTTTTAGAGGAAGTGTCTCTGATAAAGGCCTCATTTCTTAAATAAATATAAAACTGCATCAGATTTATAAGAATACAAGTCCTTTCCCAATTAACATATGGTCAGAGGATATGAACAGATAGTTTTCAGATGAAGAAAACCAAACTATCCAGAGTCATATGAAAAAGTGCTCTAAGTCACTATTGATTAGAGAAATGCAAATTAAAACAGCTCTGAGGCATCATCTCACATCTATCAGATTGGCTAATATGTCAGGAAAAAAAATGACAAATGTTAGAGGGGATATGGGAAAATTGGGACACTAATGCACTCTTGGTGGAGTTATGAACTGCTCCAGCCATTCCGGAGAGCATTTTAGAACTATGACCAGAGGTCTATAATACTATGCATACCCTTTGATCCAGCAAAAGCACTTCTATGCCTATGTCCCAAAGAGATTTTTTTAAAAAAAGGAAAAGGACCCACTTGTACAAACATTTATAGCATCTCTTTTTGTGGCGGCAAAGAATTGGAAATTGAGATGCCCATCAATTGGGGAATGGCTGAATAAAGTTGGGATATATGATTGTAATGGAATACTATTGAGCTATAAGAAATGAGCAGGATGCTTCAGAAAAACCCAAAAGCGCTTACATCATCTGAAGCATTGTTTTATTCATTTTATTTATATGTTCAGTGTCTAGCATGTAACAGCACTTAATAAATTGTTGCTTATTTTAATTTATTCATGGGCCATAGTTTCTTAAGCCGTGCCCAAATCAACGGATGCTTATTTGATTACAATTCTTTCCTCTCACAGAGTGCAACTGTGAATATTTTGGTGTATATTCTACCTTTGTGCTGTCTTTAACCTCCTTTGGGTATATGCCTATATTGCTGAATCAAAGAGTATGTGGACAGTTTAGTCATTGATCTTCACAACTTCACTAGTACTATATTAGTGTGCCTGTCTTACCACAATCTCAGCAACATTTATTGTTCCCATCTTTTTTGTTAATTTAGAGTTGTTTTAGTTTCCATTTTACTTGACATTACTGATTTGCAGCATGTGTTTATGTAATCATTTATATTTTGCAATATTTCTTTTGAAAATTTCTCCTATCAGGGAAACAGAACACGGGGAAAGAATTTTTACAATCAGTGTTTCTGATAAGGGCCTCATTTCTAAAATATATAAAGAACTGAGTCAAATTTATGAAATACAAGTCATTCCCCAGTTGATAAATGGTCAAAGGATTTGAACAGGCAGTTTTCAGAGGAAGAAGTTGAAGCTATCAATAGTCATATGAAAAAATGCTCTAAATCACTATTGATTAGAGAAATGTAAAGCAAAACAACTCTGAGGTACCACATCACACCTATCAGATTGGCCAACATGACAAAACAGGACAATGATAAATGCTGGAGAGGATGTGGGGAAATTGGAACACTAATGCATTGTTGGTGGAGTTGTGAAATGATCCAACCGTTCTGGAGAGCAATTTGGAACAGTGCCCAAAGGGTTATAAAAATGTACATACCCTTTGACCCAGCAATAGCGCTTCTAGGACTGCATCCCAAAGAGATCATAAAAATGGGAAAAGGACCCACATGTACACAAATACTTATAGCATCTCTTTCTGTGGTGGCAAAGAATTGGAAATTGAGAGGATGCCCATCGATTGGGGAATGGCTGAACAAATTGTGATATATGAATATAATGGAATACTATTGTGCTATAAGAAATGACTGGTATGGACTGATGCTGAGTGAAGTGAACAGAACCAGTAGAATGTTGTACACACTAACAACCATGTTGTTTCATGAGTAACTTTGATACAAGACTTAGCTCTTCTCAGCAATGCAAGGATCTAAGACATTTCCAAAAGTCTCATGATGGAAAATGCTGTTCACATCCAGAGAAAGAACTATGGAATTTGAATGCAGATCAAGCAAACCATTTGCTCTTTTTTTCCTTCTGTTTTGTTTTGTTTCTTCTTGTGGTTCCTCCTGTTGGTTCTAATTCTTCTTTACAACATAACTAATGTTAAAATATGTTTAATAGGAATGTATATGTAGAGCCTATATCAGATTGCATACCTTTTTGGGGTAGGGGAAAGATGGGGAGAAAATTTAAAACTCAAAAGCTTATGGAAGTGATTGTTGAAAACTAAAAATAAATTAATTTAAAAAAGAAAGAAAATTGCTACTCTCTTTTGACTTATCTGTTGAGAAAAGACTCTTGAAATATGTGTAAACTACTTATAAAATGTGGGTATTAGCTTTTTTATCATAATAATTGATGCAAATATTTACCTACATAACCATTTCTTTTTAATATTTTGTGCAAAAGTTTTTTTAATTTATGAATCCAAAATCATCTTTTATCTTTTTATAATTGTTCTTATCTGTATTTAATTTGGATTACATAAAATTGAAAAACTTTTGCACGAAAAATCCACCATGGCTATTATAAGAAGGGACATGGTCAATTAGAGAAAAATCTCTCAAACATCTTTGTAAATATAAAAAACAAAAACTGTTTCCCATTAGATGAGTACTCAAAGGATATAAACAAACTCTTCTCAGAAGATTTATAAATAATTGTGAAAGATTGCTCTAAATCACTAACAATGAGACATATCACAATAACTCTAAGATACTACCGCACTCCCTGCAAATTGGTTAATGATGACCAAAAAAAAAAAATGGGAATAGGAAGTGTTAGAGGGGTTGTAGAAAGACACAGTTGTGAATTGATCCAACAATTCTAGAAATCATTTTTGCAGTATGCTAAGAAAATGGCTGACATGTCCTGTGTCCTTTGATGCAAAGATCTCACCCATTGTCAACAAAATATTAATATAAACACTTTTTGTGGTGAAATGGAAACAAATTAGGTGCCCAATGATTAGGGAATTGTTAAATAAATTGTGGTAAATGAATGTAATGAAATATTATTGTGCAATAAAAAACAACAAAGAGGAACTTAAAAGAAGCATGAGATGACTTGAATGAAGTAGTGTAAAGTAACTTGAGCAGAAAATAGAAACTGCTATATGCTATGACTATAACAAAGTAATGTGATGAATGAAAAACCCAAGAGACAGAATTTCTGAGTTATTGATAATTAGAGTAGCAAAGATATTGCATTGGTTGAGTTAGATGAAGCTTCTTTCTCCTATTAACTCTGAAAAATAAAGTATTGCAGAGCTCATAGAAGTTATATGCAAAAAGCTTTCTGTATTCCATTGGATGAGGGAAAACTGGACATATGTGCCAGGGTCTGGTCTGAGACCGAGGAGACGCAAGGGACCAAGGCTAAGCTGATAGATAGATAGATGGATTAGATAGATAGATGGATCGATGGATGTGGCAAGACACATCAATCAAACAGTGAGGTTGAACAGGTGTAATGGCAGCAGTGAGATGTAACAGCAACAGTGAAGTGAAATGG